ATCTCTTTATATCTATCATGCATCAACTGTCATCTATCATCTATCTATATGTATCATAACCTATTAGCAGAAGGCTCCTTAAAAGAATCAATATCTCATATTAACTGACAAGCAAAGTCACTATCCAAAATGAAGTCATTCCAAAGCAGACATAATCACCTACCAGGTCCTTACCTTTCTCACATTAGAGGACATCTGCCTGTGGATGGCCTGTTTGTCTGCATTGGGTGAACGCTCCCTTAACACTCACACTATACAGATCAGCTCTTTTGGTATATAGTGTGAAGCTTTTCTGGGGTGGGCTGGAGAGATGACTGAACAGTTAAGAGTAGTAGCTGCTCAGCTGGATGTAGTGGCACATGGCTTTAACCCCAGCCCTCAGAGGCAGGTGGATCTCTGAGTTTGAGGCCAGCCTGGGCTACAAAGTGAGCTCCAAGACAGCCAGAGCTACATAGAGATACCCTATATCAAAAGAAGAAGGAGGAGGAGGAGGAGGAGGAGGAAAGAAATGAAGGAAGGAAAGGAAAGAGTACACACTGCTCAACCGAAAGATCCAGATCTCATATGGTAGACCACAACTGCCTGTAACTCCAGTTCCAGAGGGTCCAACACTCTCTTCTGGCCTCTGCAGGTACCAGGCACACGTATGGTGCACAAACATACATACATGCAGGTAAAACACCTATAACACATAAAATATTTTTGAAATAAATAAAATTAAAATTATCTGAGACTAGCAAGATGGCTCAGCGGGTAAAGGCATTTGCCATTAACCCTAATAGCCTAAGTTTGGTCTCTGGAACCCACTGGTTGGAAACAGAGAACTAATTCCTGCCAGTGTTGAGGCCTGTTTTAATTTTTTTTTGCATAACTACAGCCCCTCTGTTGAGACCTGCTTTAGTTTTTAGCATAACTGTATCTCTTCTGTTGACCTGTTTTCATTTTAGCAAAGCTGAAGCCACGTTTCTTTAGTCTTTATTTTGATCATAAGGTGAACTGACTTCAAGTTCTCAGACTCTGCCTGCCTGACCTAAGAATAGCCTTTTATTTACAGTTCAATACTTCCTCAATGCTTGAACTGATAACAAATGTATGTTCTACTGAAACAAAACCGCAATACCCTGCTATGTTCCTTTCTCCCTGAATAATAGAGAACTGGAAAGCTCCCAAACTCCCCTACTCTACATGCCAGCCAATCAGCTTAAAATGCTTTATCTAGCTACCTAGACACATCGTACCTGGAATAGAATTAATTTTTCTTGCTTCTGGTCTTTTTCCTTTAAAAACCCACTCTCAGAATGGTTCAACAGCACAGTTTGGCTCCCAAGACCACTGTGTCCCTGAGCATGGTCAGTTCTTGGAGTGCTGAGTTCAATAAACCATCCATATCTGACTGAGAGGGGTGTCTGAATAGTCTGTGTGGCTCTTCTCGCACAACACCAGTTGTCCTCTGATTTCCACATATGCACTGAAGCACACACACACACAAAATGTAAAGCAATGAAAAACCAAGAAATCTGGAACGCAAAGGTAAATTAGCTTATAGTAATTAAGCTAGTTTAAAATTAGCTTAAAAATAAACCTAGATAATTTTTTTTCTTTAATAAAATATTTTGTTACTGGACATGATATGTGCTTGAAGCTAAGGAAAAAGGATTCTCAAGTTTTAGGACAACCTGGGCTACATATGGAGTTCCCAGGCTAGCTTGGGTTATATATGAAGACCCTACCACAAACAAATAACAGCTAGACAAAAGAAATCATTTGTGCCCAATGATTAAAAAAGAAGACTATGAAGCACATTTTACCCCCAAAGGCTTGAGGGAACGTGGGTTTCCAGCAGGGCTAAGATAGCCTCTTCCATGTGTGTGACCCACCTAGAGTTCAGGGAGTATTGTCTGTTTAAAAATAAACTGTGCTGCCACATGCGATGAGACTGTAGCGGAGAAGACTTACCCTGGGACAGCGGGGGGCCTGGAGTCCCTACCGAGACCCCACAAGCACAGGACCTGCAGCCCAAAGCACTCACACAGCTGGATCAGAGTCCCCAGGAACCTTCCCTTTTAGACCAATAACAGTGTACCAAAAAGGTTGGAGGGATGCTCAGCAGATAAAAGCACTGACTCTTTTTCCATAGGACCTGGGTTTGATTCCCAGTGCCCACAGGGCTGCTCATGACCATTTCTAACTCCAGTTCTAGGGGATCCAACACCCTGTTCTAGCTTCCACAGATACCAGGCATATGCGTGGTGCATACAAACACCCATATGCAGAAAATAAAAAAAAATTTCAAGACAGGGTTTCTCTGTGTATCCCTGGCAGTTCTGGATTTGCTTTGTAGACCAGGCTGGCCTTAAACTCACAGAGATCCACCTGCTTCTGTCTCCCAAGTGTTGTGAGCCACCATGCCTGGCCCAGAAAAAAAAAATGTACAGAGGCTAGGGGTTTAGTTCAGTTGGTCGAGTGCTTACAACATGCACAGAACCCCAGTACGACCTCGAGTGCCAAACCAGGCATGGCGCCACATGCCTTTAATCCCAGCACTTGGGATGGGAGACAGAAGCAGGCAGATCTCTGTGAGTTCAAGGCCAGCCTTGCCCACAACAGAGTACAGAACAGCCAGGATTACACAGAGAAACCCTGTCTCAAACAAAACAAAACAAAACAAAACAAAACAAAACAAAACAAAACAAAACAAAACGGAAAACCACCTTGCACCAAAACAACTGGGAGAGAGCTACACAGGGAGCTGGAGGAGATCTAGCACCCTCTTCTGGCCTTCCTGGGCACTTGCAAAATATTTGTTTTAAATTATTTAATGTGTCTTAGTGTTGTGCCTCCATCTATGTCGGTGCTCTGTGTGCATGCAGTACCGGCAGAGACCAGAAGAGGGCATCTGATCTCACGAGGGTGCTGGAAATCCCACGTGCTCTTATCAACTGAGCCATCTCTCTAATCCCCTAAAAAACAAAAGAAAATTGCACACTGACTGGGCCATACTTCCCAGCCCTCAGCTCAGTAACTAAAGCTTTGTTTTCTTGTCTGATAGTGCTACTTCACTACTTTTGTAATAAGTCCCAATCCACAATCACTAATGAACCTAGCCAGCATCTCCCACTGTTAGAGTGGGGGGGGGGAGTTCAAGAGACTAGACTCTCTGGCGTGGATAGAGACAGGACATTCAGTTGGGCACGGTCATTCACTTGCCCTAGAAACCATGCCTAGGAACGAGGCTTACCTTAAGCCCTGCTGAAGAAGTGGGTGGAGTAATTAGGCCCCTAGCATACTACCTTACCACTCTAATCACGTTGCTCTGCCTGCCTGATTTCCTAAACCTTTTCCCCTTTGCCTTTTCTTAACTTAGAACCACCTTTTCCTTTTTATGTGGTCATTTAAGTTCAAGGAAAAATAAGACTGGTATTTCAGTTTCTGTTCCCAGGGCAATCAGAGGTGAACTCCAAGCCTCAGCAGCCACTGAGCTACTTAGAACCTAGTTCCAAGCTCCTTGGTGAAAACAGCAGAGTTTCCAAAATTCGGTTCTACGGATTCTGGTCCTTGAAATTCTTTGTGGTGGGGCCACCTTGTCCTGTTGGAGATCACCAGGCAGTCCAAACACCATCCTTGGAGGAGGACCAATGCTCTAGATGGAGGAAACCTCTTCTTTATTCTAAAAAACAAAAATCCTTCTCCTACCTGCGCCTAAGCTTTGAAATGCAGCCGCAGTGACAAGGTCTTCACAAGCAACCACCACTGTTGAGGCTTACCTTTACATCAAGCCTGTACAACACACTCAGCACAGTCAATTAAAACAGTTTGCTGTCCCAGAGCCCAGCAACAGAGAAAGGGGGCTGTTGTGCCCATGTCTGATGTCACTTCACTGCACAGGTGAGGGCCTCAGCAACGCATGGGGAGCTAGCTCCCTTTCATGGTGCTGGAGAACACTGAATCACCAAGTCAGACGTTCAGGAGTTAAGGAGAGGCAGGCAGGGAAGCGTGGGTGGGAGAGGATGAAAGCAGACCTTCCTTGTTGTAGAGGCTGTCTGCTTCAAATGCAAGCTGTGGCGTGCTGGGGGTGCAGGAAGGGCTGTCTGCCCTGAAACTTCAATTTCTTCCTTCATATTACCCAAAGGAAAAGCCAGCAGGACAAGCAGTCCTCAGGGCTGCCCATTGCCAGATGGGGCTGCAGTAGAGAGACCCAGAAAGCAGTGGTACAAACCACTGGGAAGCAGACAGAAAATGCAGGCACCAAGAAGGCAGTAAACAGTTGTCAATAATCTTACAGGGTGTGTGTGTGGTTAGACAGGACACTGAAGAAAGGAGAATGAGGCCGGGCAGTGGCGGGGCACACCTTTAATCCCAGCACTTGGGCGGCAGAGGCAGGCTGATTCTTGCGTTGGAGGCCAGCCTGGAACTCTATAGACTGAGTTCCAGGAAAGCCAAGGCTATGCAGAGAAACCCTGTCTCGAAAAACAAACAAACAAAAACAACTACAAAAATGAAGAAGGGCAGCAACCTAGAAATTATAGTTTGCAAAACAGCCTAGAACACAGCACAATCGATATGCCTGCTATGTGGCTATCGTCCTGTCAATCATTCTAATCTTCCCGCCTCCGGACATCCTCACTACCAATGCAGAAAACTTCAGTCCCCACCCCCCACGCCCCCACTCCCAGGGCTGAGCCAGTGTCCCCAGACACTGGCTTCTCCAGATGTTCTATAAGGGATGCAGCCCATCCACAGGGCTTTAGTGCCAAAGTGGATCGGGTAGAGACAGGGATCACAAACTCCTCATTTTCCACGTGATCCACCAGACGCTCATCATGGGAGGGCTCTGTCATTCAGAGTTTAGAGCAAAGGCAGTCTCTAGTGCTTGCTCCCTCCTCTGCCTACCTCTCCCCAAACTGGAGAGTTTCACTTTCCACAGACCTCGCGGGAGGTGTGTGCGAAGAAAGCCTTGGAGATGCAAGTGAAGTATTTTTAGCAATCCTTGTAGCACCCACCTCCACAGCCTCGGGTACGGGGGAGACGCTGTTGGTCTTCCGGGAGCCCACGCGGAACTTGGCGGCCTTGTAGATCTTCCAGTACACGAAGAGCACCACGCACAGCGGCAGATAGAAGGCGCCCACGGTGGAGAAGACGGTGTAGGACGGCTCGCGGCTGACCTGGCATTCCTCGCTGAGCTCCGAGTACGTCTCCCCCCAGCCGAAGACCAGCGGGGCCAGGGAGATGACGGCGGAGAGCGCCCAGGTGAGCAGGATCATCACGTTGGAGACACGCTTGCGGGCGCGGAGTGTGTATTCCAGGTGGCGTGTGATAGACCAGTAGCGGTCCAGGGCGATCGCCGTCACGTTCCAGATGCTGGCGGTGCAGCAGAGAACGTCACACGCGATCCACAGCTGGCACAGCCGCCGTCCCAGCTGCCAGCGGCGCCCACACAGTTCATGCACCAGGCTCAGTGGCATGACCAGCGCGGCCACCAGCACATCCGAGATGGCCATAGACGCCACCAAGTTGTGCGGCACGCGGTGGAAGGTGCGTACCCTGAGGATGGTGGCCAGCACCAGCAGGTTCCAAGCGAACGTGGCTGCTGCTAGGAAGCCCAGCAGGGTCAGGACCAGCACTCGGAAAACCGAGAGGAACGGCCGACCAGGGCGCAGGTCTTCCGAGCCCAGGCTGCGGTTAGGTTCCACAGAGGAGGGAGTGGAGAGAGTAAAGGAAGTCAAGTTTACGGGCAGATCCATGGCCGGCCCAGGCCACCTGCGCTGAACCCGCTGAAGTCAGTCCAGACGGTTGTGACCACTGGCCGGTGGAGAGAGGATTCCGCCCAGAGCCTGTGGACCTGGCCCCCAATCTCCAGCTAGTGAGAGTCCAGAGGAGACGGTGGCAGAGGGGAGGGTGCTTGGCTGCGGGTATCCTTAGAAATTTGGAGAGCGGACTCCAGAGGCTGAGTCCAGAAGTCAGGGCCCGCCTGTGCCATCACATGCCTGCAGCTCCTCTCCTCGGCGGAGACCGCGGTCTGATCGCCGGCAGCAGAACATCCTCGGTCGGGGTCAGGCACCCGGCCCCATGCAAGGTGGATGCCTGGAACCCGACCGCTACGTCAGCACAGTCGCTGGTCCGGGGTTGTTTCCTGCCCCCCGCCTCCCCCTCCCAGAAGCGGCTCCGAGAGGTGGGGGCTGCTGGGGACGCGGCAGTCGGATGCTGAGGAAGCCACGCAGGTACCTGCTTTCTAGAGACGGCCTTCTCGGCCCTGGCCTCTCTCCGCCGTGCCCCGGGCTGCTCCGAGAGCGCACCCTGGCGCGTCCGCCCGAACCTACCTTAGCAAAGTGAGGAGCCGGCGCTACGTAAGGCATCAGCTGATGAAGCCGCCTCTCCCCGCCCCTGGCTCCCGAGAGCCGCTTCAGCGCTCTGCGCTGTGCGTGGCGCTGTCCACGGTGCTGCCGCCTGGACCAGCGCCTACCACCACAGGGGCCGGGAACCAATTAGCTAGCAAACTTTTCTAAAGCCTTTCTCCAGCACCCGCGACTGGAGCCGCATCTTGTTTCCAGGGGGTGCTGTGCTTGAAGTACAAGCGCCCGGAGTTAAGCACCTTAACAGCCCACTGCCGTTCCCGTCCAGATTTCGGTACGTGGTTGCCCCCTAATTCGGTGAGCTCAGCAGCCTCGCTTAAAGTTGTTTGCTTTAGAAGAGAAAAGATAGATAACTGTTTTTCCTGTTCTCAGAGGAGGCTGAGGTGTGGAGTTAGGGTGCCTGTTTCCGGACACCTAGAAAGAGGCTTCCAAGAGCTCTTCCAGTGGCTCTACTGAAGCCTCTACCGAGAAGGAACCGGAGGATGGATGAATCGGCCTTTAAGAGCACTGGCTGCCATTGCAGAGAACCCGCTTTCTTTGGTTCCCAGGACTCACTGTAACTGGCTGGAACTCAGTTTCTAGGGCTTATGAGCGCGCTTCTGGCCTCCATAGGCACCATGTACACATGTAATGCACATACATGCAATCATGCAAACATACACATAAAATAGCAAAACAAGTAAACCCTTAAGAAAAGAGGAAACCCAGGTGTGGAGGGCGCCTGTAATCACAGCACTCAGGGAGGCAGAGGCAGGTGGATCTCTGTGAGTTCGAGGCCAGCCTGGTCCACAAAGCAGGTCCAGGACGGCCAAGGCCACACAGAGAAACTCTGTCTTGAAGCAAAAAAGAAAAACATAAGAACGGGAGGAAAGAAGGAAGAAAAAGAATGAAAAAGCTTCGTGGCACTTGAAAAGCAGGGACAGTGAGCCAGGCTTGATGTCTTTGCTCCCAGCACTGGAGCTTGACAAAAGTGGAGCTCTATGAGTTCAAGGCCAGCCAGGGCTGCATAGTGAGACTCTGTCTCAGAAAATAAAGTAAAATAAAATAAAAGGTAAATAAAAAACACAGGAGCATTAACTCTCACCTCAATGCACCTGTAAACAAAGTGATACCACACATGCTGCTGAGAAAGCATTTTGTTTCCAGTGTAAGGTTTGAGATCCAGGGTTTAGTACATACTAGGCAAAGTGCACTACCATTGAACTACAGCCCTCAAGGCAACTCCATAAAACCGTCCTCCTACCCCACATGGGCTTGTGGTTTATGACACTCATATACACACACTACACACAGCCGGTGGGTGCATGCACAATGCTAACACATAAATAAGATGACGTAGTAGGCTTCTGAGACGCCCTGGCTATCCTAGTCTACTTGGAGAGCTCCAGGATAATGACAGACCACAGCTCATAAAATAAGGTGGACAGTGCCTGAGAAATGATCACAGAGGTTGTCTGCTGACCCACACACACCCACACACAAATAGCTATTGATCCTTCTCTGTCCCAGCCCTTTTCAGTGGATTTGCTTGGGTCAAATTATTTCTGTAACAATCTTAAGGTAATACTTGCTTTTTACAAAGTTAACGCTCGTGTTGGTGGGACATGTGCCTGGCCTTTCTGATAGCGAAGGAGGCTGCTTATGTAGAGGAATGCTGCTTACATAATTATGTATGTGTTGGCGAGAACTGGAAGCATTTTTAATGAATAACAACGTCTTCCTTGAAAGATATATGGACAGATAAAATATCATCCTTCACACTTGCATATAGCACAGATATTTTCTTTCAAATGAGGAAGGAAGGCCTTTAAGGAAAAATAACTGCCAATATGTTTTACCCATAACAAAATTCTGGAACATTTAAATCCACCATTGGACATCTGGCAGCTTACAAGTACTTAGAGACCTGTGAGCTGATGTTGAGGATAAGGTTAATGAATGCAATTTTTTAAAGACTTATTTGATTATTTTAAATTATGTATACATGGCAGAGGTATGTACTTATGTGTCCAGGCAGCAAATCCCCTGGAGCTGAATTTATAGGTGGTCATGAGATGCCTCATGTAGGTTCTGGGAACCAAACTCAGGGGTCTCTGGAAGAAATACTTGCTTTTAACCATTTAACCATCACCCCAGTCCTACGATACTGTATTATAAACGCGTCACCATCTGGAAAGTCTGAACTGAACTATTCAATCACTCAGATAACCAGGGCATGACATAATAAATTTCTGAATAGAATTTGATTCACTTCAAAAGGTGAAGTACACCATAGGTTCATTTTATTGTTTATCTGTGTGCCCGAGCATAGATGTCAAGGTCAGAGGACAACTTCTGGGACTCAGTTCTCTCCTTTTACCTGTGGGTTCAGGCATGAGGCTCAGATCATCAGGCTCCTCGCCCAGCACCGTTTCTGGCTGAGCCCTCTCACTGGCCTAATGATAGATTTTTGATCTAACAGTATGAAAATGTATATAGTAAGATTTCAGATTCTACTATGCACAAAGAGTTCAGAAATTACCACTTGCTGAGTTTTGATATAGCATTACATAAAAATGAGTAAGTGAGTACTCCTGGCAGAGGTGCCGCCCCCTGGAGAGGCAGAACACTCTGTAAGCTGCATAGGTTTGAGGTGTAATAAATGAGCTTCCAGATCTGTCCTCCGCCCTTGCCTGGCCTCTCCGTAGAGGCTGGGTGTGGTGTTTACTAGGAATGGTCAAATCACCTGTGAGATGAGCCTCTAGGCACACCTGTAAAGGATTACCTATATTGAGGCTAGATCCTGAGAAGGATTACCCTGATTGCGTTAGTGGTGTGGAAAGATTCATCCTGACTGTGGGTGGGACTGTTTCCTTGGTAGGGGCCCTGGGCTGCACTAAGTGCAGCAGCAACCGGAGGTGAGCACTGGCACGCATGCGCTGCTGTCTGCTTCAGGGCTGAAGATGCAACGTGATTGGCTGCTTCAAGCTCTCGCTGCTCCGGCTTCACTGCCACGACAGACTGTGTCCTTGAACTGTGGGCCACAATAAACCCCTTCTTTCTTTAAATTGCCTCTTTCGGGGTATTTTTTTTTTTTTCCACAGCAACAGAAAAGGAACTAAGATACAGAACTTCAGCTCGTGAAAGAACAGACTTCCTCCTTGGGAAGTGAGCTTCCCTCTAGCAAACTGTAGGCTGCGCCAGTGGATGGCCTGCCCAAGTCCTGTAGAGGCCCACTCCCTTTGCCTGAATGCGGGGTAGCTCTGCCAGGCCACTCCTGCTGGGCGGTTCCTGCAGGATTGGCTGAGGCTCGGTTACACGCACGTGGTGACCCGCCCGCCACCTGCTACCTAGTTCTCCCTACCTCCTGTGGGTTCCCAGCAGAACCCACTCATGATTCTCTGCCCCAGAGAATACTGTCTAAGGCAGCAAAGGTGTTATTAAAAGATGGGTGCCGGTTTGGGATACAGCTTTCACGTGTGAAGCCCTGCGTTCAATGTTCAGTACTGCAACAACGAAAAAGGGTTGGTGAGATGGCTCAGAGGGAAAAGGTGCTTGCCACCAAGCCTTAGCGGGCCTGAGTTAACCCCCCTGAGCCCGCATTACAGCAGTGACTTCTGCAAGCTGTCCTCTGACCTGCTCACATGCACACACTCCGTAGTATGCACCCCGTCCCCCAAACAAAATAAAAATAAATGTTACAGTAACAAAATAAGATAGGGAGCTGGGGAGATAGATGGCTCAGTGGTGAAGAGCACTGTCTGCTCTTCCGAAAGGTCCTGAGTTCAACTCCCAGCAGCCACAGGGTGGCTCCCAACCATCTATAATGTGATCTGATGCCCCCTTCTGGCATGCATGTGTACATGCAGAGAGAGCACTCAAAAACATTAAAATAAAGAAATACTTTTAAAAATTAAGAGGAGACTAAAATCTCGCTAATACTCCTCAGAGTACGTGGTGAGTGACGACGCTAAGATGAGCATAAATGTGAAACTCGGGGTAGCTAATGTTCTAAAGAAGAATCCCAATATGAGGTTAACTTCTAGGGGACAAAGTCATTCCAATAGAACTCTGGGATGAGATTGTTTCACAGACATTCTAGACATACAGGACAATTCTCATTGGTTTTAGTTTTGAGATTTCCTGGAATATGAGGGGACAGATAAGAATGTTCAAATCACTATGATTTGAACATTTGTAATATTAATTTGAACAAATCACATTTGTAATATTAATTTGTTGTTGTTGTTGTTCCAGAGACAGGATTTCACTATGTAGCATTGGCTGGCCTGGCGCTCACTCTGTAGACCAGGCTGGCCCTCAAACTCACAGAGATCCACTGCCTTTGCCTCCTGAATGTTGGGATTAAAAGTGTGTGCCACCACTGCCTGGCTCAGGAGATCTCTTAAAAGGAGCCTAGCCAT